TATATATATATATATATATATCTGTTTTTTATTTATTTATTTTTTTTATTTTTGATTTTTTTGTTAATTTTGATCTCACGTTACTAGGGATTTTTTTGCAGAAAACGCAAGTATTTACACATTATAATTCCCATATTAGCGGAGTGTCAAAAATCCACAAGATGTACCTTACTTTCACAACATATCACCTTATACTTTCAAACCTCCACTTTTATCAAATGCTGTATTTAATGGTCAAAGTAAGAAAAAGTTACTTGTGTACTAAAACATGATGTTTCATGTGTGTGGGTTCATAGACATATATTTTTTATTTTTACATTAGGTCATGCAGTGCATTATTATAATCCACATATGCAACATGAAGAAGGAAATGGCTAGTGAATTGAATCAAGAGAAGGTAATTTACTACTAAAATTACTCTATAGTCATTGCATATATGTAAACGGTCAATTTCTTATAATCAATTTATATTGATCTGCTTTATTTTCACTATTTTCAACAGGCAGTTAAAGATATATTTGGAACGGGAAAAAAGGTTTTTTTTTTTATGAAGATGGTTTAAGTGCATTTTCAACATGCCTTTGTATATGTTTACTATTTATTGTTTTGTTGAAACAAGCTTTAATCTTGAGAAATTGGTGAACTCTTAAATTAAAGAAGTTTGCTATACTGTTCTCAATCAGCTTTGACCAACCCGCCCAAGTAGGTTGTACAATTTTTTCTAACCATAATTCAACCTTGGAGACAAAAGCTTGAAGTGATAGTTCGATGGCTTCACCAATCAAGTAGGCTATGCAATCTTGAACAGCAACAAGAGGTTCTCAAGATGCTAGAGGCAATCAAAATGGACGAATTTGTATCAAGAATGTGAAACTACATCTGAACTTCTTCAGAAAAATACAAAAGATATAATGATATATATCGATGAAACCAATTAACGACTATTCCATTCTACCATTATAGGCACATCAAAACTCAATCAACTCAACATCAACTGACAGATATATACGAAAACAACCTTAGAAACTCAAAATGGACAGAAAATTTCAATCCTTTGGACCTTTAATACGCAAGAGCCACTGCCAAACCATTAGCAACTGAATATTTCAATGAAGATGAAGCCAAATTACCTCCAGAAATGCATCAAAGAGAGCAGATGTAACATTTGGTGATTCAAGAAAACTCGGACCTTCCGAAATGATATTGGTAATTTGAGAAACCAATAAAACTCCCAATACAAACAATAAGTCTGTAGAAATTAATTAACTGCCATCTTTTTCATTTACTGATTTTCACTGTGATTTGTCATCTAAATCAGCCAAATCACTTATAGTCCCAGAGGAATTCAATTCGTAGAATTCATGGTGCATATGGTCTCCCTATTTATATTCTCCCATATTCTCGAAGATTCATCGTAAAACTCCGCTATCCCCTTCTGCAAAGTCTTCGTCGTCTCCTTCTACAATTTCGGTATAATGTTCTTCGGCCTATCATAAAACTTATGAGAGTCATATCTCAAAAGCTAGCCGTTAAAGTTGGAGAATCCAAACTTATATAAACGACACAAAAGAAGTCCATACTTTCAACGTGGGATTCAAACCCCCCATAAGTTCAACCGAAACCATGACAAACTATCACATTTTTTACCCCAAAGCCCACGTAAGCAGGTGCCCATGCACTAACTAGGGTCTCAAGACACAATGCATGCTCTGATGCCAATGTCATAGAATTTGAGAGATCGTACCTCAAAAGCTAGCTGTTGAAGTTGGTAAGTCCAAACATATATAAACCACACAAAGGAAACACATACTTTCGATGTAGGATTTGAACCCCCATAAGTTCCACCAGAACCATGACATAGCCATAATCCTTACGGCAGAATCTGGCTTGTAGAATTGGCTTGTTGGCTCGACTCGTCAAAACTCGGTCCATGGGCTACTCGAGCTGTTTCAGGACGAGTTCGAGTCAAGCGAGGGCTCATTCAATGATCTAAGCCTTACAAACAGCTCCTGGACAATGCCCAGAAGTCTAAAGTTCACGAGTTTACGGGCCTCGTCAAAAAAGTGATCAGACATCATTTGGTAACTTTAAAAAAAATTTAAAAATAAAAAAAAATGGAATTTGTGGGCCGAGCCGAGCTTGTGGGAAATGGGTCGAGCTAGCTCAACTCGATCCATTGTCATCCCTACTAAAATATTAGGTACAGAATGCATCAAAAGAAGTGAAAAATTGATGTCAAATTCAAGTAAAATATAACCCTCAATTTTTTAAATTCTTCATCATATATTGCCGTGTTTATATGTATTTGCTTTAGTGGTGTCTTTTTCATTATTATTTTTACTTTAGTCGAAGATAAGATTTTACATATGGGTAATCAAACGTAAATTCTACAAGAAAATAAAAAAGTTCAAAATAATTTAATAGAATAAATATTAGTGGATATATTTAGAATGATACATTTTTTATTTAGGCCCAATTTGATCCACATTATTTGGAAAAAATATATTCTTAAATAGTAATTTGACATTATTTCAATCACACATTTTTCAATAAATAATATTACATGCAAATTCAAAATTTTTTCTTATTTTTTTATCACATATTTTCTATCAATACACTATTCAAAAATGTATTTTTATGAAAATAGTGTGACTCAAACAAGGGCTTAATTTTATATATCTCTATTTAAGTAAATTTGCATGAGATTAAGCCCTTGTTTGAACCTCATTCTTTTGGAACAATTCATTTTTCAACAGTATTTTAAAATAATATTACACGTAAATTCAAAATTTTTCTTATTTTTTAACCACACATTTTCTATCAATACACTATTAAAAAATTCATTCTTCCCAAAAAAATGGGACTCAAACAAGAGCTAAAAATATAATATAATATTCATTTTAAAAGTGGATATATAATAATGATGAATGCAAATAAGGACTTCCTTTTTTCTTTTATGAAGTTCTATTAAAGTTAGCTAGTAGTTCAAATTTTGGTTAAATAATAACTTAAAAGTCACAGTGACCCGTCCTTTCAAAAATAATTATACGGTATGTTATATATGCTATTTGTTGGATGACATGGATAATGGGTTAAGCTTCCTTTCTAAAGGGCCATTTTATTTTAGTTGTATTTTTTTAGGGATTATTGTTGTTGTAGTCCTCAAATCTTTCAAACTTTTCCAGCTCTTACTTTAACCTTTAATTTGTAGCATTGTTGGTCCTAAAACCTTTTATTTTTGTGCGTACAAAGGATCTCTAGACAATTTTCATCCAAATGATCGTTAATTTATCCGTAAAAAAGTTAATCACATTTGATCAATAAAATAAAGGGCAAATGATTACTTTATATTTTTCCAAAATAAGACAATTATAATAATTAAATAAAATAAGATATAAAAGAGAGAAAGTTGAAATAATTTTTTCATCATCATCCCCACCCCACCACGCAGTCACCTCCTTAAAAATTAAATAAGATATAGTAATTTTTTGTTAATAAAAATTAAATTTTACAATCTAACCTCCCAGCAACACGCATAGTATGTATGCACTATCGCCAAAACATTTACCCATAATCGTGACCCATAGCCTTTTGTTCTTAACTACGTTGAAATGCACCCATACAATGTTGTCATTAAGTTTGCATTATAGGACTTTTGTCCTTAAAAAATACATGTATAATATGCATATCTGTCCAAAGCAACGACATAGGGAAATCTATTTTCCCTTCTCATTATCTCCTTGCAATTGCATCTCTTTTTATATTCCTATCTTTCAAGAATCAAATCCCTAAATTTATCTTTTATTTAAACCACTTTGAAGAAAAGAAGAAATGTATAGGCAAAAGTGCAACTAAGGAGAAAAGATTGTTGTGTCATTGGGCCGGTCCGCCCGGATAATTCAGGCCTGTTCACAGGCCGACTTGGGCATCAAACATGGTGGGCCGGCTCGATTCGGCTACTGGGGATTCAAGATAAAAGCACAAATTGAAGTCCCTTCGACCGCCAAGCGTTCAGATATCCTCGAAAATCCAGAACTAGGGTTTATTCGGCCAATCACTTCTCAAGTAAAGTAAATCTCATCTCAACAATATTCGTTTTCTGGATAAGAAATCGTGAAATTTGATAGTTCTAATATCTTTCTAATTTCTTATTTTCCTTTCGTTTAAAGCATGGCTGGAGATGGAAATGAGATCATTCTCAATGGCCAAATTACTTCATTTATGCTAATTAGCTTAGATTTTTATAAGAAAATTAAGTGTAAGACATCATTTGATTGCAATCAAAAATTTACCAGTGATTGTGCTTTTCCCGAGTGCCGATGATGACTCCGTAGGCTTGTAATGATTGTGGAGATGAACACAAAATTTTTTTATCAAATTTTATCGGTCTGAGGCTCGTCCATTCAATTCAACATATTAAATTTGATTTTCTTGTTTGGTTTGTACTTTCAGCTAAGAAACTTTTATTTACTGCTAAAGTTATCTTTTCTTATGTTGAGCATAAGCTTGTAACGGTGTCATTATATGTAGTGTTACTCAGCCATCATTTGGAAACAAATAATGGATGCCAATGATGATTTCGTAGGCTTGTAATGACTGTGGTGATGATCACATGCTTTACTTTACAAACAACAGTCTGAGGCTATATTCTTCTTTGTAATCCTTGTGTTATAGCAATGAACGGGAAAGGATATAGAGAGGACCGTAGGAAACTAGAGTTTGGATGAGTTACTTTTTCTTTTAAGTAAAAGTATTGCTTATTGTATGATTAACTCATTTGTCAAAATAAGTAACCTTCTTATTTTCAAGTTTGATTAATTAAAAGATCTCACCTGCTCATTTCCCAAACTCATATGGTTATTTAGGCTTTTCCAAGTTGTGACATCTGTATTCTGTGCTGCAGATGGTTAACTCTCTATTTGGTGCTTAGTGGATTTTTTTGATATAAATGGATGCCAATGATGACTTCGTAGGCTTGTAATGATTGTGGAGATGACCACATTTTTTACTCTGCAAACAATACTTTCTGAGGCGTTATTCTTCTTTGTAATGCTTGTGCTAATGAGGCATGGCTGGCTTGATGATTACTAATGTTAACAATGATTGGTTGCAACTAGTTATATTCCTATCCCTTCCCTCGAACGAAAAGGAAAAATACATTTTTATGAAGAAAAATCTGTTGTACTTTTTATGCATAGTTGATTTATGGAGGAAGTGATAAATCTATTAGAATTATATATTCTGGTTGCATATTTTCGTATGATGATACACGGTCATGAAATATAGACATTCATTTTTTATTTATTTATTTTTATTTTTTATTTTTTTTGGCATTTGAAGGATTTAGGTCATGTTTTCTGATTAATCTTTCTAGTTGATATCCATGTTATTCATATGAATTTCTATTCCATTTTGGAGATGACCTTCATTGCGGAAGGACATCTTGGGGGACTTCCAGTAGAAGATTTGTTCAATGAAGTTACTCAACTGTAGATATTAGCCACTGTGGATGTCGGTAACGACTCTAATTGTTCTAAGTTAAGCCTTGCCTCTGTATTTGTAACTGTTTCGGCACCCTTTCATTACAGAGTGCTCTTAAGAGTGAGCTTTATTCATTTATGTTTGGCCCCCATTTTTTCAGAAAATCATTTTCAATCACCCATTTTCCAATAAAATAAATTTATACGTAAATTTAAAGCTTTTTCTTATTTTTTAACCATATATTCTTCAACAAAACACTATTTCAAAATGCATTTTGACCCAAAAATGGTTCTCGAACAAGGTCTCAATATGGTTGCAACATCTAACCATTCACTCTCGACTTTCATTTGAAGTTATACTTTGTTTTTCACCCCTTTTCCTTTATTATTATTATTTTTTTTTTTTGCTTTACGTAGTTCATGTTCTGTTATTTGTCATCATATTAATGTTGTCCATTCTGACTGAATATATTTTCTTGCTTAGTGCAACTGCTTAAAAGAAGAAAGAAATTACTCAGCTAATGAAGAGTCTTGATTTAGATTTTTTGAGAATAGATTTTGTCAAAAGTGATTTTTTTTTTTTAAAGTGTGGTTAAAAAGTAAGGAAAAGTTATGTGTACACATGCAAAATTATTTTATTAGAAAAATATGTTGTTGAAAATGAATTTTAAAGAATCTTCTACCAATAGGGGCAGAGAATGCATAAATTTATTTTGATATTACTTTCAGAATACTGAATTATTATTTAAAACTCTGTGTTGCTTATATCGATTTTGTTTTGTAGTGAAAGTTTAGCATTGTTCAATGGAAGCTGCTTTCTTTTGTATTTATGGTCGTTCGATAACCAGTGGTGACAATGCTTGTGAGCACGTGAGGAGGATGAAAAGCTGGAATTTCTTGTATTAATGATGTTTTTTTGTAGTTATTTTATATTTATGACTTTTTTGGTAAGGTACACTATGATAAAATCTTATAAACTAAATGGAAATCGAAATGTACAGGCCATATGCACATGGAGTACATTGTAATTTGTGCGGTAGTTCATGGAAGATTCAATCTTGACATATTGAAATTAGTTTTGTTCATTTCTTATTTTACGACTTGCAAGGTACTAATTTTTAAATTTGTTTATTTAGTAATCAATGTTTTTTAATATTTAAATTTAATTATCAGTATATATTTTTAATAGGGAGAATTGTAGCCACGATATCAAACCTTTTATTTAGTAGTAAACTTGATCTAAATTTTTCATTTGTATCACCCACGATACCATACCTTTTAAATATTTTCAATTGGAATCCAAATTGATGGAATCATGGAAATCATTAATTTGACCATAAAATTTTTTGGAATTCGTTTGAGCTATTTAAAAAGAGTAAAATGATACTTTTATATTATTCCACACAAAATAATTATAATAATTAAATAAAATATCAAAAAATAAAAGAAAAAAGAATCTTCTTCTTCTCCTTACTCACCCAACTAAAACCAAACGGGGATTCATTTAAATGGTCCAGTCAAACAAAAGTTTTGTTTAAAAAGATTATGAATTGTCTTTTTTATTTAGATAGCTTTAGGATACAAAGGAAAGGAAAATACAATTTTTAAATTACTAAAATATCATTGTATGTAAAAGACATAATGTCCCAATTCCCCTTTTTATTTTCATTTAGCCCTAATTCAATTTTGGCTTCCTTTCTTCCACAGTTTGATAGGTCAATCTCTGCTATTCTTCTTCTTTTTTATCATCATCTTCTTCTTCATGAAATCCCAAAATATAATATTATCATTCTCTTAAATACTCACTTTGTTGAAGTAAGTAATCAAAACTTATAGTATTTTTAATGGGTATTTGAGGAAGAATAATAATGTTAAATTTCAATATTTTGACTACTTTCTTTTTTTATTTTCCTGAATCACATGTTGTGATTCGTGTTTACAGTATTCATTTGTTAGTAATGACTTTTTTTTTTTTTAATCATCAAATTATAGCTTTGATATGGGTTGCTTTCCCATTTTCTCATTATCTCTTATTTTTTAAATAAATATGCTGGTAAACACATGTTTGGCTATTATATTTATTGCTCTACTATGAAATATATATTTCATTTTTTTCCGTCCAGAACGATTTACATATTGTTTTCTACAAACCATAACGACAAACATCTCGTTATTAATAATGTACGAAGTTTAATTGCAATTATGGCCATCATGGATATGTTATGGATTCAATTTGTTATCTAGTTGAATATGAGCAGTCAGTTGAAAGCGCTTGAAAATGAAAAATGCAATTAATGGCAAAGGAAAAATATCGGTCATTCTTGTTTGAAAAATAATTTCTTGTGTAAACTTGTATAAAGTTAGAGAGATGTTAAAGGTCGATACAATGCTATACCAAATAGAGATATCAACGTTTGTTCCTATAATGTCTAAGGCTCGAACTGTAAGAGAACTAGTCATGTTCGCTCCACTGGTAAATTTCAAACAGCTGGTAGTAAAATTTAAAGTCGTGTTACTGTCTGACTTGTAATTTTATTATTTTGTACTTATTGGAAGCATAAAATGATTTATTAGATTTTATAATCATCGTGCTATTCTCACTTCTATGATATTAGAAAAAAGTTAAAGTCTTTTTACGTTGTTGTATTTTTTTCACATTACAGACAAATGACTTTTATATCGTTATAGTGAACACATATGTCTTTCCAATATGAAAAATGCATAGATTCATATAACGACGTTGAAATTGTTCCTGAAACATAAAACGATATTGATGTCGTTTTCAAAATGAAAATCACACTAATTTACATAAAAATATTGAAATTGTTCTTGAGACACAACAAAATTGATGTTGTTTCAATATAAAAATATGTCACTTTATTGATTTTCATAATGACATTGAAATCATTATAGACCAATAATATGACATGGATATCGTTATATAAAAACTTACACAGCGTACGCAACATAAGGAGCTGTTGAGCTCGCTTCCAAGGGAACATTTGCTCTCGAGTGGTAATGATATTGATATCATTATATATCTATGTTGTTGTAGTTATTATATAAATTTGAACGATTTCAAACACGTTGAATTTGTACTAAAACAATATGGACATCGTTATGTTATTTCGTGGTTAGCTACATAACGATATAATTATCGTTTCAATACAATTTTGAAAACGTCGATATTGTTTCTATTTAAATTATAAATAAACAACATATATATCATTTAAAATTATAAAAAAAGATAAGTATATCATTTCTGTTAAAAATAACGATTCGACGGTCCCCGACCACCCAACATGTATTCGATATATATGGGACGATTGTAGGTCATCGAGTGAATTTGATTTCACTCGATAAAAACTATGGAAACATTTTTGTTTACACGATTATATACAACATTCAAACTATTCCCACAGAAACAAGTATCTTTGTTCGTTATTTCTATGTCATTTGAATGGCATCAACCCATTTGATGATCTATTTCGATCGTCCTAGGTATGTTAAAGACGTGTTCAGTGGTTGTGGACGGTCGAATCGTTATTTTTAGTCAAAACGATATAATTAACATTTTATATGAAAAGAAAAAATATCTATGTTGTTATAGTTATAGTTATTATTTGAATTGGAACGATTTCAAACTCGTCAAATTTGTACTAAAACGATATGAATATCGTTACTTTATTTGTGAGTTTGATACATAACAATATCATTATCGTTTCAATACAAATTTGACGATGTTGATATTGTTTTAATTTAAATCATAATTAAAACTACATACATATCGTTGCAATTAAAATAAAACGACAATTATATCGTTTCCACTAAAAACAACGATTTGACCATCCACAACCACCAGATATGCATCTGACATATATAGGATGCTCAAAATAGATAATCAAGTGGGTTCGATCTCACTCAAAAAAACTATGTGAACATTTTTGTTCTCATTAATGTATACAACATTCGAACTATTTATACAGAAAAAAGTATCTTCGTTCGTTATTTCTAGGTCATTTGAATGGCATCGACCCACTTGATGAACTCCTTCGATCGTTCTAGGTATGTTAAAGACGTGTTGAATGGTTTTGGACTGTCGAATCTTTATTTTTAGTCAAAACGATATAATTAACGTTTTATATGAAAAGAAACGATATCTACGTCATTATAGTTATTATTTGAATTGGAACGATTTCAAACTCATCAAATTGTACTAAAACGATATAAATGTCGTTACTTTATTTGTGAATTTGAGTCATAACGACATCATTATTATTTCAACACAAGTTTGACAACGTTAATATCATTTTAGCTTAAATCATAACTAAAATTACATACATATCGTTACAGTTAAAATAAAACGACAACTATATCGTTTCCGTTAAAAATAACGATTCGACCATCCACAACCACCAGACATGCATATGACATATGTAGGATACTCAAAATAGATAATCAAGTAGGTTCGATCTCACTCAAAAAAACTATAAGAATATTTTTGTTCCCACGATTGTATACAACATTCGAACTATTCCTACAAAAACAAGTATTTTCGTTCGTTATTTCTAAGTCATTTGAATGGCATCGACCCACTTGATGGCCTCTTTTGATCGTCCTAGATATGTTAAAGACGTTTTGAGTGGTTGTGGACTGTTGAATTGTTATTTTTAGTCAAAACGATATAATTAACGTTTTATATGAAAAGAAACGATATCTATGTCATTATGTTATTATTTGAATTGTAACGATTTCAAACTCCTCAAATTTGCACTAAAACGATATGAATGTCATTACTTTATTTGTGAATTTGATTCATAATGACATCATTATCGTTTCAGTACAAGTTTGACGACGTTGATATCGTTTTAGCTTAAATCATAAATAAAAGTACATAAATATCATTGCAATTAAAATAAAACGACAATTATATCGTTTCTGCTAAAAACAATGATTCAACCCTCCACAACCAGCAGACATGCATCTGACATATGTAGAATGCTCAAAATAGATAATCAAGTGGGTTTGATCTCACTCAAAAGAAACTATGAGAATATTTATGTTCCCATGATTGTATACAACATTCGAACTATTCCGACAGAAAGAAATATCTTTGTTCATTCTTTTTAAACCATTCGAATGACATCAACCCACTTGATGACCTCTTTCGATCGTCCTAGGTATGTTAAAGACGTGTTGAGTGGTTGTGGATGGTCGAATCATTATTTTTAGTCAAAACGATATAATTAACGTTTTGTATGAAAAGAAATGATATCTATATCGTTATAGTTATTATTTGATTTGGAACAATTTCAAATTCGTCAAATTCATACTAAAACGATATGAATGTCGTTACTTTATTTGTGAATTTGATATATAACGACATCATTATCGTTTCAATACAAGTTTGACGACGTTAATATCGTTTTAGTTTAAATCATAACTAAAACTATATACATATCGTTTTAGTTAAAATAAAACGACAATTATATCGTTTTTGTTAAGTATAACGATTCGATTGCCCATGACGAACAAACATGCATTTGACATATGTAGGATGATCAAAATAGGTAATCAAGTGGGTTCCATCTCTTCAAAATAAACTATGAGAATTTTTTTGCTCTCATGATTGTATAATACATTCCGACTATTCCGACAGAAAGTATTTTCGTTCGCTCTTTTTAAGTCATTCGAGTGGTATCAACCCACTTGATGACCTCTTTCGATCGTCCTACGTATGTTGAAGGTATGATGGGTGTTTGTGGATGGTCGAATCGTTATTTTTAGCCAAAGCGATATAATTATCGTTTTATATTAAAATAAACGATATCTATGTTGTTATACATGTTATTTGAATTGGAACGATTTCATACTGGTCAAATTTGTATTAAAACGATATGAATATCATTACTTTATTTGGGATTTTGATGCATATATATGTATGTACGTATATATATATATATATATATATATCGTTTTACTTTATATAAAACGATAATTATGAAAATGACAATTCGATCGTCCACGGTCATCTGACATATATTTATTGTATATAGGATGATAAAATAAGTTATTAAGTGAGTTCGATTTCA